ACTGTGGAATAAGCAGCTTATAATGAATATCAGTTGTAGTCACGAGATACTTCAGTGACTTGTTGGAACAAGTGCTTGAGCAATATTAAAGCTGCAGAAATGAAATTGGTCACTGTGCCAATAACAACTATGTTTCTGAAGGAGAGTTGTCCATGATGCTCACTTTCTGTCTATATAAACAAGTGATACCCTTTTATTTATGATTCACGATGGGCTGTCCTCTCCCTCACTCCTTTCTTCTGCTTGTCTGTTTTCAGAATGAAGTGATCAGCCAGCAGCTGTCTGCAATCTTCACCCAGTGTTATGGCCCTTACCCCATTCCCAAACTGGTTGAGATGAAGAGGAAGCAGTCATCACGGTTGGGTGAGCACCCATCTTTATCATATTGCTTTAGGTACTGTAAGCAAATTAAATAAATATTCAACATAGAAGCAGCTCCTCTAGCAAAGGTATCACACAGTATTTAGAGTTTAATGCTGCCATCTACTGTCTGCGGGCAAATTTAGAAAACGTTGCATAAATGAACTCAACTGAACAGAATTACCTTAAATAAGTATGGGTAGTAAGGATTGGTTTTCTTTTTCAGAATCAGAAATAGGTTAACTTCTCTGGCCATTCGTCTTTCAGATCCTCATTTCCTAAACAATAAGGAGATGTCTGATGTGACATTTCTGGTGGAGGGAAAACCATTTTATGCACATAAAGTCCTGCTCTTCACAGCATCCAACAGGTATTTAAACAAATGTTACCATAAAGCATGTGGATAGTACAATAATAACGTATGTTTCCATTTAGTAAAACACAATGTTGTACATCAGTTTCACCCTGCGTGACAACAAATACAAACTGTAACAAAAGAAATCAAATAACACACATTTTGATTTTTCTCCACATCATATATCATATATAGATTTGTAGAAAATGTGATTTCTCCATCTCATTTCTCTCTCTCAAGGTTCAAATCTCTTCTAGCAAACAGACCTTGTGGTGAGAACACATGCATCGAAATCAGCAATGTAAAATATCACATCTTTCAGGTAAGTACCAACCTGAAGGTATTGCCAAATAGACCTATTAAGACTATCATTCTTTTTATGTGGCCATTGTGTCTCTTTGTATGGGAGCTTTGTAACATGTACCTTCCTTTCAGATGGTGATGCAGTATCTGTACTGTGGAGGAACGGAAGCTCTGCACCTCAGGAACACTGATGTCATGGAGGTTAGATCATCAATACATTTTCTTCTGCAACCCTGGAACTTTTATTAAACATTTTGAAAGATGAAGCTGTTTAACTTTCAAGTAGTTTTCTTGTATCTGTCAGTCTAACAATGGTGAAACATTTAAGATGTTGCAAAAGTATTTTGCGAAACTACAATGTAAAAAAAGACCAAGAACTTCCATTGCTACCCAAATAAATATTAAGATTTCATCATTTAATATTCAGCCTTACAATTAAGCCACTAAAAATACACACAATATCACAGAATTTCTGAACTGAAGGAATAAGAAATTATCTCTAGCCTCAGGGGCTTTACACATTTGCTATCAATTCCAGTTTGGAGACTACAACATGAAAGAATTTCATTATGATCAAATTTCTGAGGATCAGTCCTGATCCAGATAAAATTTTATAACAAAGACTCATTCTCTGGCCTTGCAAGTCTACTGGACAACAACCTTTTTGTATCTTTTAAACATCTGATTAGTTTTAGTGTATTGAGGTTATTTTTGTTAGTAAAAGAAAACACTCAAATTTAATATATATTGTGTTTTTAATGGTATTAGCTTTGCATTCTCTATTTTCATACCCATTTTGACCTATACGGTTCTGTTACTCCTCTTGCCACAAGCCAACTATCTCCAGTTTTCCCTGTCTACACATCAACTTCTCAATGAATGCCTAAATGTCTAAAAAATGAACAAGGTGTACTGAAAGGGTTTCTTTCAGATACCTCAAATAGTGTAAAAGACAGACAAAGATACCTTTGTCAAAGCAGGAAAAAAAGAGTTTTCTTCTAACAGAATAAGAATTAAACCACGTAAAAGTGCATATAGCCATGTATTTCAAACTAATGCAACAATTTTTGTACAATAACGTCTTTGCCTGTTATTGTTTTTTCAGCTCTTGTCAGCTGCCAAATTCTTTCAGCTGGAAGCTTTGCAGAGACACTGTGAGATTATCTGCACTAAGAACATCAACACAGAAACCTGTGTGGAGATCTACAACCACACCAAGGTAAAGAAAGAAATGAAAGGAGAAATATAGTACAATACAGGCTCCAAGGGAAGGTGTTAACATGTTCTAGATGTTTTCAATACATTTTCCAATAAGTCTATATTCTGTTTTACTTTTTTAAGCACAGAAAATGTACTTTTTTGAAAAACTAAAACTAGTTTAACATGAATGGTTAGCTGGATAGATGGATGGATGGAGTTTAACATAACAACCTTGAGATACCCCTCATTACTTTCCCCCATTTCTTCCCAGTTCCTTGATGCCCCGGACCTTGCATCTTATATTGAAGGCTACTTCCTGAAGAACATGGTAATCCTGATTGAGCTGGAGCCCTTCAAGCAGCTCTTGTACGATGCCCCTCCTGAGAGCCCTGGTGCTGATGTCCTGCAGGCCCTGGAGAAAACCCTGGCCACTCGCATTCAGTCCATCCACTTGTCTTCTTCTAAGGGATCCATTGTGTGAACCCTTTCTTTCCGAACTGAAGAACAGAGATTATTACACTGTAATGACTTGCATCTGAATGATGAATCATTTTCACCTGGAAAGGAAAATGTGAATCATTGGCTTGCTACATGATATAAATTATCTCTGTGAAACTCATTAATTGCAAATATACTTTATGTTATCTGAGCACAGATGGTTACAATTCTGTCTGTCTGCCTCATCGATGTATGTATACTAACAAATGCATAATATTGTAGCTGTATTGAGGCTCAACTTGCCAATAACAAGTATTACTGTAACAGGAGGGACCACAGAAATCGTCAAAATCACCCAAATTCATGGATATGAGGAGCGACCACTGCCTAAAATTGTGGTTACTTTCTGAAACATTTGGACCTGTACAGAGAAGATCACTTGAACATTTGTCAGTTGGAACTGTGCTAATATTCTGCAACCAGGTCGAGGAAAAAGAAAATAAACTCTAATGTGACCGAATCACATGACTTTGGACACCTTTTAAGAAAAAAGGACTTTTACTGCTGTGTACATTTTGTGAATAGGAAAACAGAGATATTGATAATGTAAGTTAATGTAGATATATTCACATATTTTTTTCTCATGTGTCTTAAAGTTGGATATTGTTGTAAAAACAAAAACAAAAAAGCTCAACCTATAAATATCTATGTTTAAATGTTGCATGTCAGAGGGATTGCTTGTTTTTGTTTGAACTGTTACCATCACGTCATCAGGCTGGTTTCACACATGCAAATAGTTTTTGTTATCAGCATGGGTCACTGTTAGTGTGTGTCACAGTGAAACTGTGTCATGTTGTTTCAGAGATTCCAGCCAGGTTTGGTCATGAATAGCCCCCCCCCCCTTCATTTGAAATTGTGACATTGTGTGACTTGAGCTTTACTCTATAAAGATTACAGCTGTACATAGACTATGGATTTGCCTTTATGTTTATCTGGTGCAATTTCCCTCTTAGAAATATGAGACATCTATAATTCTGTTTGATGTGAAATTTTGAAAGCAGCCCTCATATAATTTTGTTCTCTGCACCAAAAGGTTAGTCCTCAGCTGGTAGATGGTTTAATGTGGCACCAAGCAGTGTGCACGCCAGTACAATGTGAAAACCAAACTTAGTTGACAAGATGGTCTTTTAATAAAGTCTTTAAACTAAGAAGAAAATGGTAATAAAATCTCCTAAAACGATATAAGTCAGTGTGTGTAATTCCAGTGTTCCATTCATTTTTCTAGGATTACTGAACCGATAATAGAACTTTTAAAGGAGTAACAAACATGTTAGACCACCCTGCTAAAGAAAGGATATCCAGATTTGGATAACCTCCATGTCTCGTCCGTCCATAAGTACACAACGTTTGGACCTCACTGTAAAACATAATGTAATGTCTTTCAAAATGTTAAACAAACTGTAACTGAATAAACCCAAGGGCCTATCAGATATAATAGCTAAGTAAACATGGCTAAATCTAAACTCTTCATTGACCAAAAATCTTTTTCTGGTCATAAATAAAAGACTTTGTAGTATAAAGCATTCTTTTTTTAAAGGCAAGTCAGCTTTCTATTTATGCTGGCATGCACAAAGGTTTTGCTTATTTTGGGTTCATTTTCAGCCACAAAGAATACAATTTCAATTTAGAGACTAACAGAGACAGCTGCATCACCCTGTCACAAACACTAGTGTAATTGACGCAGACTAGACGCGAGAGACAGTTCATTTTCACCTGATGTTCTAGTCCCTGACTCACTGAAAGGCTGTGAGTGAGGTGGATGAATACAGACAGGGCTGAAAGGGAGTAACATGGCAGCAATGTCCTAGCAGATAAAGAAACAAATATGGATCTACTGACAGATTCAAAATGCTCAGAAAGTCGTCTGTAATTCTCATATTAACAGTCATATTAAAGGAGATTCCAAAAAAGAGGTGAAATCTGAACAGGCGTTACACACAAAACGGCAAGGTCATAAAAAGCACATACATAAAAAAGTTTTGAGAATTAAAAATAATTAATATTTTTCACGTCAGCCTTTTTCTGAGAAAAAATCTAAATGTAAACATCATTACCACAGTGGACCAACTCAATTGCTGGTCTCTGGTTGGTGACCCACATCTGGGACCAAAAAATAATATAAAAGAGGAAGTAAAAGAAGCATCAAGGTACCAGCACTTTCCTATAATGACATGACCTCTCACAGAGTTTGAAGCACAAAAATACATTTTCAGGGGCTTACAGTTTCTGCATAGAAACCCTGTTTATTACCTCAAATCTCATCTCCCCAGAGACCTGGAACAAATATCAACTGACTTGGCCTGCAATTTTCCTTTACACAAGAAACCGCTGCGACTCTGATTCATGTTCTTTCATTTCAAAGAAAAAGTCCTCCACATAATCACTCTTAAAGAATCATGTCGACCATGACGTCGTCCAAAATGACTGCTGTTTGTCGTTCCTCTTTCAGTGCATATCATCTTTTAGCTGCTCATAGTTGCCTCCCACATGGTCAAAAGTTTGGATTGAATAACGCAAAAATGAAAATGACTATCAGAAGTGAGAAACTGTCTGGGAAGTGTCAACAAGTCAGGAGCTGATTTGCCCAGTTGACATCCTCAAGCACAACAAGAACAGATTTAAAACCAATATGCAGAACATTTTGGCCGCTTGGCACTTTGTTATAACAGTTTATATTTTTATCTCATCAATGCTTGATCTGAGTCACCTCCCCCACTTCCAGGGGAGAGCTATCTCTGGTTTGGTGAGGGTAAAAAAAACAAACAACCTCTTCTCTCTCTTCTAGTTATTTGAGGCCAGTATTCCCAACACTAATTATACCACCACCATTTGCTTTTTTCTGCCACAGGACACCACAGGTTCAAAATGATGAGTCAGATCTTGTTTACTCAATGTGATGACTCATCACTGGTCTTTCACATACTTACGGCATTTCCTACCATCCTTTGGTCTAACACTGCTATAATAATCACCTAGAAGACACATTTTTGTGTTTTTAATGCTACAATTGACAACACAGTGCAAAATGTGCTTTTAACTTTACACTGAAAAAAGTATTTTTTGTCATGCAAAAATGATTAATGTCCCTCAGATGATTTATGTCTGTTGATGTCTGCAGGATTGTTTCTAAAATGTTATCCACCTCTATTTTAGCATCTTCTCTTAATTAAAGAGTTTTCCTTCCATTTATGGAATATAATTCAACAAATTTTGTTTTATGTGCCCTGCTCATTATTTATTTATGACTTCAATTATTTATTTTGGCTGGCTGGATGAATCTAAAAAACAACAACTATGAAGACAAAGTACAAATTCATAAAATAAACAACGTAAATACATTTTTTGCTTTCTCTGAACACCTACATCTTGCCCAGGAATGCAGCTGTCAATTGTAAATCTGACCTCCCAGATTGAAGACTTAACTCTTGGCAAATGAGGACATGCTTGATGAGTAATTGCCAGACACCTCGCATATTCTACATTTCTTTACCTTGTGTGACCACCAAGCAACAGAGAAATGAGGGCCAAACAACTGATTGAGTTGAGACAGGATTAACTACGCAAACATATGAGGTGGTCTGACCTAAGAAAAACACCTAGAGAGACGAGCAGAAGAGGAGAGTGAAATATGTGCAGTGAGAACAGGCGTAGCCTTGTTCTTTTCGAGTCTGCTCTTGTGCAAAACAGGGTTAAAGCGGAGCAGCGGAGACAATGTGTGCGGTCACTGAGCACTGCAGCTGCTGTCAGTAAGATGTTGCTGAGGAGAATTCCTCTCCCACTTCCCCAGCAAACATGTGGTGCACTGATTTAAAGTGGCTGTAAACATTTACAGTGCAATCGTTTTTTTTAATTGCTTTTATGGATTAATATGATACTAACATTAAGGCCCTTTGTGTGATACAAATGTCGCTGACAGCAAATGACTCTAACTTTGTTTATCTCAAAGATTTTCTTTATAATTCAGTTTTTTTTTCTAATCAAGCCTCAGATCCGCTTTAATGCTCTTAGACTGTTCCAAAATGCCTGTCTCTCTTTGAGCGTGCATGGTACTTACAATTGAGGGACGTGGTGACAGCAGTTGTTAAGGAGTCACCATGGTTACAGCTACCCAGGAACAACGTTGAGTTGGGAATGCTGCGCTGTGTTAAACACAGAATGGAATCCTGTGGTTCACATACATGTTGATGCTTATACGCAGACACAACTAGCAGGAATTCCCAAGGCAACCTCATCCAACAGGATTTCCTCCTAGAAAGGTATTTAAGAGATTTGTATTTGACGTAGAAATGATTCATCATTAGATTAGCTGTCCAACAAGAGACCATGTGATGGATCCATGCTGCCTCTTTTCTAAAGCACTGCTGGACATCTTAATTTACTGAGCTGTGAAGTCCAAGTAAAACACTGTGTAACAGCGGAGGCTGGTAGGTTGGGTCTAACAAGGGGACAACTACAAAGCCTATTTGACACTGTGCCTGATGGGATTTATATGAAGGTTTCTGTGGAGCTGAAACATTCTATGTTATGTGGTCAACTCTGGAGGCCCATTGTTCCGTTTTCTGAGTGGGTCGATGTGCTCGTGCGTGTGTGTGTGTTCATAAGCAAAATGGGGGTGGTAAAAAGTGTGTTTGCCCCACTAACTCTGCCCCCAGCGCGAGCCTCTTCATCCTCCCCTTGTTGTCATGCACAGGCGCTCTCCCCTTGGCACAAAGTAGGCTGGCAGCACAAGAGCCATGTGTTTTAGCTCCACGCTTTGAAGGGCTCCAAAAACTTTTCAAAGCAGCTTCTGAAAAACATCGTGTAACGGGACAGAAAGAGAGAGAGAGGGAGGGATGGAGGGAGGGAGAGAGAGAGTGGGAGCAAAGAAAGAGCAAAACTGTGTGGGAGCAGAAGAAGCTAAAGGTTTAATATGCTGTCTTGCGTGTGGTGGTTGGATAGCAGTTGTTGAAGATACTTTTGTTGGACATTAACGGGAGAGATTCACAACCTGAGGTGAGTGTACAGCGAGGAGGTGACTGAAAATGAGAAAAAGAAGAAAAGATTGGCGTTCTTTTGTCTTACGCTGACAAATATGACCTCAAATAAAAGGGAATTTTCCTAAAGTGAAACACATTTTCTGTGAATAGATCTGACTACAATGTTAATTGCCAAATTAATTTACTGGGACTTGTAAATAGAGAAATTACAAAAATGAACATGTTCAAAGTGCTTCATGTCAATAGCAAAATTGTACTTTTTGTGTGTGTTTCTCACCGTGTCGCAGAAGTTGTCTTGAAGATGCAGCGCGAGGAGCTGTCAGCCCGAGAGGAGTTCACCTACAGCCACATGCCCACCCTGGAGAGGGGAAATGGGACACTGGGGCGCCGGGGGGACAGGGGAGCAGAGAGAAGGCCAGACAGGGGGGAGAGGGACAGGCTGGAGCGGGACGGCTACACAGTGGACGTGAGGGCCAGTGACCTGCAGCTGGCCCAGCCGGAGCCTCTAAAGCACCCCTGCTTCAGCTACAGGGCCTGGCTCTACAGTGTCCTCATAGGGGTGAGACGAAATGTGGTCGGGGACAGTAAAAAAAGGAAGCACACGACAGGATTCGGTATTTTCTGTTCATAACACAAGAAATTACAGAATGGGGATACTCTATTATCAGTAAAATATCTCCAATCTTGACATTTCGAGTGGAATGGCAACTTAAAATCCTGTTTTGTGCCTCCATGATGAAAGAGGATCACACAGCCGGATGGATAAAATGCAGTTTTTCCCAGTGAAATGAAAAGTCTGAAAGTGACTGCATTAGTTTGACTGTCCACTCTTTATCTCAAAAGATTTGTGTTTGTATATTGGAGAAATTCTTGTCCATTTCCACGTGTCGACTGAAGTGTCTGTGACAGGATAACTTTGCACGCCTGCATGTGTCTGTGTTTTCAGGGCTGCCTGCTCATCGCATCTGGCTTCTCCCTCTACCTGGGAAATGTGTTTCCGGTCGCTATGGACTACCTGCGCTGCGCGGCGGGCTCTGTAAGGGACCGTCAAATATATGATCCCTCTGTGTGAATAAACAAGTTGATTTCATGTTGACTTGACTCTCATTTTAACATAAAGCTGTAAAAAAACATTTAAGCAGCTCAGTTTTTTCTTTCTTTCTCTTTTTTTAACTTTTGCACAGGGCATCCCTGCTGCTATAGCCAGCTTTGCCATTGCCAAGAACAGACATACAGCAGTGAGTAATAAATGAGAACAACGAAAATAAAAAAGGATGCATTTGCTTCTGTCAATGGTTTTCTAATTTTCTTATTTGTTAACATATTTTCCACAGGTTTCAGATTTCCAGGTGGTCTACGTCTCAACTTTTGCTGTGACGACAACCTGCCTGGTTTGGTTTGGTTGTAAGCTGGTCTTGAACCCCTCTGCTGTCAATGTAATTGCATTTCAATCAGAAGATAATGAGTATTCCAAATCCCTCTGCTAAACATTAGGTTTTAACTATGTCTTTTGTTCCTTCTCCATCTGCTTGCAGATCAACTTTAACCTCATCCTGATGATTTTGCTGGAGGTGTTGATGGCCAGTGCCGTCATTCTGTCTGCCCGCTCCGCAGAGGACTGCTGCTGCCACATGAAGGTGTGTGTGAGTGTGTGTTTGGGTGATTGATCGCTTTGGTTCCTGCATTCGATGCCTCTGTGCTCTTCTTCTCTACATTGTTTTCACTTCACTCCAACCCTTTTTAATCCCTCTGTCAATCTTGTAGCCGGTGGCGCATGACAGACCTGTGGTCATTAAGCCTGCAGTGTTCCCCACTCGACTTCTCAGGGCATATTCTGTGAGTCTAAATTTCTGCATTGTCGCATTGTTACTTGGTTTTTTTCATAGTGTCTATTGCTGAAATGGTGCCAAATGCCTCGATAGGTGATTGAAATAATTGTGGGAATCTCTGCTGTATTTGGAGGCATTATTGCTCTCAACATGGATGCGTTGCTGCCGGGTCCCTACCTGTCGGTCACATTTTTCTGGATCCTTGTAGCTGTGAGTTTTTCCAGTAAAATATTTTAGCAATGCACACATCAGCTCAGGGCAATACGTTACAACAATGCCAGCAGTCAATGACCTGATCATTACACTTTATATTTAATCCATTACAGTGTTTTCCCAGTGCTATTGCCAGTCACGTTGTATCAGAATACCCCAACAAATGTCTGGTGAGTACAAAACCCTTCACAGAACACACACATTCACTCACAACCACTGAGTCTAAACCGCTTGGTTCTGCAGTGCTTGTATTTTACACATTCCAGTGAACACATCAAGGGCAATGTCATGCCAGAGGGAATCAATCTGGTCCAGATACATGTTTTTGTGTATTGTTAATCCAGTCTTCAAATAGCAATAATTGTGAGCTCACATCCTGCTTAAGACATAGGAATGTGTCCAAGGATAATGATATATGAGTCAGGAAAAAATTAATTCAAAATTAAATGAACAAAGGCATGAATGATTGTGGGTAAAACATACCATGTATACATACACAACATTCAAAAAGAAAAGGGCCTTTTGACACTTGATTTCACCTCCTAGGGCAGTTCACTAAAGATTTTAAGAGTGACTGGACGGTGACTGAATAATTTCTTTTCCCTGTATGACTATGACTGAAAAACAAGGCCTAACTGTGACTAATCCTGCTGATGGCCTTCCCAGATCACCATGTGTCCTTCGACAAACAAACAGGCACAGCTTTGCTAGAACAACCCAAAGCTCCCAAACTTCTGAAGCTGAACTTTTGGGGAGAATGCAAACATGTTCCCTTCCTTGGATTGTTGCACATAAGAACAGAGAACTGCTAAACTGATCTGGACACCTGTTTCAGAGTCATGGAGAGGCTGATGACCCTTATCTACAAGTTCCAACACATGTCTTACTGAACCTCAACATCCAAACTGAAAGCCTTTTCCTGCATATCAAACTTAAGAAAATGGTCATTTGAACACTCTTTGCTGCCTCCTACACTGTGGGCGTCAATCATTTCAGAATTCACATCAAGATATTTGGAGCTGTCTACTTCTTGATTGGGCAGTATTAAAACAATTCAATACATTCACAAAGCTCTGAAAATGGTCTTTCCAAGAATGACTGTGAACAAGAGAAAAACTTTGTCAAGCAACTCCAACCTGTGACATTAGACTCGAAACTCAGTGTTTAAGCTTTGACTGATGCAAGTTTTCAATTTTCAACTAAAATATTGTGCAAAACGCAAGCTAACGTGTTGGACTGGATTCCATTTTAGTGTAAAGAGAGTGAGTTGAAACCCTGCTCAGTTTAATCAACGTTTGAGCTGTTCTTTGGGATACTTTCCCCCTCCCGCTCCTTTTTGTCCGATTGGTGGTTAAGTGACTGACCTCTGAAGCAAACTTTCCCAGCTGCAGATTTCAGCTTTCTCTTTCCTTTCTCAGGTGGAAGTGCTGATTGCCATCAGCAGTGTGACGTCTCCGCTCCTCTTTTCTGCTTCTGGCTTCCTCTCTAGCAGTGTGATCAGTTTTATTGACATTTTTCTTCACGATGTGCCTACAGCCAAGGTGAATGCAATGACTTAAAAGTCTGTCTGATGTGCAGAGTTCTAAACGTTATCCATCCAGTGTTGAATTCCTAATTGCTGTAAAATGAAGCTGCAGACTTCTGAGACGTTTCCTGTTTGTGTGTGGGTGTCAGCAATCCTACGACATCCTGCTGTTGATTCTGATGGTGCTGCTGCTGGTGCAGGCAGTCCTCACTTCGGCCACTGTGGTGCACTGTGCCACCTACAAGAGTCAGCTCCGCAGGGGAGCTCCGGAGTGTGACGAGAGCCTGCGATCCATCACTCATTACAGCGAGGTATGGCAGGAGAAAGCCGGCGACGTGATCACTAACGTCCAATTTTGTGTTTTATTTCCCTCTTTGCAGTTCAATCCTCACCCAGACTTAGAAACAAGCAATATGAGACCGTAGGGGACTTAAATAGAATGTTGTCACGTTACAGCAAATGAAAATATATTATCTTACATGCTAGGAAAAGATTTGAAACATTAGAAATGAAGTTTTCTCAAAACCCTTTTGCTACCCCCACCCCCAGCTTATCTCTGTCTTATCTTTGTTCTCTGTTTGGCGTCATCAGCATCATGCATCCAACGGAACACTGCAGGATTTTGACAAGGACAGAGCCTGGAAGGCAGTTGTGGTCCAAATGGCTCAATGAGCAGTTCTACTCTATACAAAGAAGTTTGTTCAGGAGTGGAAAAATGGGAAGAAAAGGAGGCACAGAGCAAACTCTGTGAGCTCTAAGAACAAGGACAAGGGTACTGGACAGAGACCAGAGGAAAGAAACTGGGGTAGATGGATTGTAAAGAACACAGAATGGAAAAGTAGAAACAAGGAAAAATATGTTTTATTTGTTTTTTATGAATATATTTTTCATAGATGATACTTTAAGCACCTTGCTTTCATGTTTGTTCCTGTATGTAGAAATGTTTTCATTCTAAATGCAATGAGGAATTATTTGAAACAAAAGTTTTTTTTATAATGATGGCATGTACAGAAGTTATCATGAAAAAGTTGGTGAGATAATGATCAATAACAGATCCAAGCTTTTGAGCCTAATCATAGAGCTCATTATATCCTGAGACATTAATCTTGTTCTGCACTCTGAATACATGAAACATGACTCATTTGGGATTTAATTGATGCTGCAGTTTTCTTAGTCATAAACACTGTATTCCTTCAAAGAAAATGAAATAAACATTTTCACAAAAGCTAAAGAAAGCAAATGTTTCATTATGTATTTTTTTCTACAAAAAAGTATTGATAAGTTTTCTTAGAACTCTTTATAGTGTTAAAGTCCTTTTTCTGTGTGCCGTTTGTTGTGTATGGAGCTGTTTACACAAGAAGTCTGATTTTTCACTGCAGAGATGCAATATTGATGTGATGAATTCTAACTTAATGTGTGTCTTACGTTAAAAATCAGATGTCTTAGCTGTATATAAAGTTGTATATGTTGTTCTTTAAAGTTGCTGAAATCATGAGTATCTGGAAACTGTATACTTGGTTAGATCATAAAGAAAATAAAGAAGGTGACAATTATAATATCAATTAGCATTATTATTAAAAGTCTCTTTATTTGCCTGTTATTCACACATAAAACTGTAATGGAGAGATTGTAGATTTCTGGTCATTTGCAAAACATACAAATTGACCCAGTCCAATCTTAAAAATAAGATTGGACTGGGTAAAGATTTAGTACCCTCAACATCACTATACCTCATTGTCATGTTATCTTTGTTAATTCTCTGTAAATGCATACCCATCCTTCCGCTTTCGCATGAAACATTATACGTGATATATTATATTAAAATTAAGTCATTTTTCTCCCTGACATAGCTTGTGATGTTAAAGGCAAAGATGAATCATTTAACATGGATACATGATGTGGATACCATAACATTTCTGTTACATTCAATGTCAATGATTTCTAATAGAGGTAATATTTTCTGTCTTGACCTTATTGTATACACTCATCTTGTTAGTCTAACCTGATATTTCCAGTTATCTTTAATTTGGGGACTTTGAGGATCTTGCCTAACTTTTCTGTTTGCAGCCTTTGTGGTAGAACTTTCATAAATTCTCAGAGCAAACATGGCCTTTTTCCAGATTTGCAGGTCTTTCATTAAACATTTCTTCTCTAATAATAAAATATTCCTATTGCTGCTGTCTGTTTAAGCAGTTAAATTTGTACAATTTATACATACACTGTCCACACTTTATTCTTGGAAAAGAGCTGCGAGTGATCCATTCAGGAAATATTTATCCAAGTGTGGCTGCACATTAGGGCAGTGCAGGCCACTCCAGGGTCTGCTAAATCTTCATTAGGGCCTGCTGAAGTCACCACACTAATTCTAACAAGCCTCTCTTCCAAATCCCTTGAGAGATTTTTTTGTGCTTTTCGGGGCCACAGTTTGACCTGAATCACTCCTCTTAACTGCCATTTCTTAATTACATTACAGTCTGAGGAAATGGCTCCACGAAAAAGCTTTGGTATCTTCTTTCAGTCGCCTCTTGTCTTTTAGGAATCAGTTAATTCCATTCTCAGAGATCTAAAAAGCCAGACATAAAACTCGGCTCATCTACCCTTTCCCACAAACAGCAAGAAAATGTTGCACTCATGAGCTAATTTGAAGAGAATTAGAGAATAATTAAAGGACAAGAACCAAATGTCAGTGTACATTGTGGAGCAGCTTTTCTCATTTCTTCCTATCTAAATCTGTATCTAAATAATATAAATAAAATCTTAACTGAGGGTTTCATCTGGGGCTTCCAGCAAAAAGCACATCATCCCACTTGATTATTTAGATTTGATGAAACTTTGAACAGGGGGAACCAAACTGGTGCCACCCAGTTTATGATTTATTTGCACGCACTTCTGGGCAGTCTGGTTTGCCAAAACTATTCCGACACATTTCTCCTGAAAATAGACCTACAATAAAAGCGATGTGTTGTTTTATTTAACTAATATTGCCCTGAAAGTCAAACTACCACGACCGGAAGCTGCATCTCCTGTTTGGCTCTGAGATCAGGAAGGGAAGCGGGACTCTATGATGAAGAGGCACATCTCGTAATAGCGTTCCTTAACCGGCGAGAACCAGTTTGAGGTATAAAAAAAAAAAAAAACATCACTTGCTATTTGGTCCTTCTGGTACGCATCGGGGGCGCGCCACTTTCACGCGCACAGCGAGAGGTTAAAGAGCTCAATAATCCAAGCAGTGAGCACAAAAAAAGTGCTTAAAGCAACAAATGAACGTAGTAATCTTCATTAAAACTGTCCCTTCACAGGGGGGGAGGGATTTAAAACTGTAGGTAATTTGGCACAAGCAACACTCACAGCTTCTACACGTCAAAACTAGACAAATAATTCACTTATTTATGAATGACCCATATTAACCACCTGTTGGGCTAACTAGTGACTATTATTTATGTCACTATCCTAAGTGACTCAGTGAAATTAAATCTTAGCCCCTCCCAAATAGGCTTTTATTACAGCCTTCCAACTATTTTAAAATCGTTGATGCATGACTAAAAGAAACCTAGAGTGAGGATAAGATGCTCGCCACACCCAGTGAATGTGCACAAGCATCTTTTCCATTCGTTGCTGTGCACAGTCCCACACTCTGAGCTGATGGGCATGCCGGATAAACCTATGAATAGGCAAGAAAATGCAGTCAGCGCCTCGCAGTTTGGTTACAGCGTAAGATGGATGGTTTAAAAAAGAAGCCGGTCTGAATGGCTTTGCAGCTGGGTGTCACAGTCCTTAAGGTGTCAATTGTAAAAAGTAGCCTGTACAATCGTAAAACAACCCCAATCGAGTCATTTTGTGCCAGCGATTCGAACAGAACACAGACATTACGCATGGAGATGGTCTTTGTTTCATTTGGGAACCACTGAGCGTTTAGATATCAATTTATAGGCTACACCATCCCATATTTTCTGTCAACAGGCCACTCTGCGTTCAGCTCCCTCAAAGCCAACTGATGCGATGAGCTAATTTGTTATCTGTTCTCTTGTTTCTGAGGAAGAGGCAGAGCAGGGAGGGGAGAGGAGAGGAGAGGGTTGGAGGCACTGAGGAAGAGGAGCTGGGGGGGTAAAAGCGGAACAAACCGGTGAGCTCGGATACATGCTGTAGCTGCTCGCCCGCACTGCAGATTAACCCTTACCGTGCCGGGAGAAGCGGCGAAACATGGTGAGTGATTATTTATTTTATTTTATTTTTTTCCTATTTCCATCCCACTGCCTGTGCGTTCGTGGCACCGTCGTTCCACAAACGGATGGAGCGGATGTTTTTAAGAGGGGTACGCGTGGGTAGGTAGACGAGTGAAGCAAGTACTGAGAGTCCCCCTCTTCCCCTCACACACACACGCGGAAAAGCGCGCACCTCTCGGTCTGTGACCCGCACGGCAAATCGATACTCTTGATGTTCATACCCAAACCCCGCCGGCCCGGAGCTATCCGCTGCTCAGGTGCTGAAACAAGCCCCTCAGCCCCAGGAAGCTGCAGATCCCTGCATTGTCACGTCTGTCTCAGCTAAAGGGGGCTGATGTCTCTCTGCGTCCTGGACTCCTGGATCTGTTTGGAGACAGCGGGGAGAAGCCCAGACAGGGCTAACTAGGACATGACGATCTTTCAATGAAATGTTCCTGATTTGTTCCAGGTAGGGACTAGCCGGCAGTTCAAAGTGAAACAGTGGTCAGGATAGTTTCAGTGTTCTTTTATTTTCTCGTAATATACTTCCTCAGATCTACCGTTGGAGTGTCATAGTTAACGAATTAGATCAGATTTGTTTCACAAGTGCTAGAGAAGAGGTAAAGTAGTCATTCTGAAAGTTCTATGTCCTCCTCTGCCATCACCTCATCATTCATTAATGAGGACATGCATAGAGCTAATTTCCTTCAGCTTCGGTCCTGAAATCTGACGCTTTGTTTCTCTGCAACTTGCTTCTCTGGCCTCTGTCTGCCACTGTTTAGTGGGATACTGTAGTAGCCAAAGAAATTAGGGATTCCCTGTGTAAACACCGGACTCATCACCCAACTGAGGGGCATAATCTGTCGGGCTGGAGCCGTGCCAGAGGCTCTCAGACAGCATTACATCCTCTAACTCAGCCCATAAAATATGGTGCTGCTTCTTTAAGTCTAAATTATGCAAACTTTACCTCACCACATATCTTCCCTAAGACGACCCCTTGAAGGTACGGCTAAAGTTGACTGTTGTTGTGTAGTTTGTGAAGCAAAGAGTAGAATGTGTGTGTTATGCAAAGCAGGACATCTTGTTCTCTCTTTCAGATAAAACAGAACACCTACTATTACATGTCAGTGACACTGAATAATGTTCACTGAAAACGCTTATAAGGAATCTGCTCTTAGTGATCCCTCTCACCACATGTGCTTTAAAGCTGGCTCGAGGACACTAATTGGCCCCTGCACTCGTAAAACTGCAGTCTCAAGATTCCCCTCCCTGAGATATTAAGAGTGTGTTCCCGCCCTGAAACAGGGGGCTTGGCTTTTAAGGCTTTCACTTATGAGCTATGCCTTTTTTGTCTAATGAGAGGAAAGTGAGAGGAGGGCAGAAATAGTAATTGAATGGAAAGTCAAAGATGAAAGGATGGAGACTAAATGAGAATTGCTGCCGGTACAGGGTGATATTCCTACCCATGAAGGGCATTCACATAACCTTCGTGTGTGTGGGGGGGGGGGGGGGGGTCTCGCAGAAGAAGCTGATGCTGATTTCTGCTCTGCACATGTATTATGCAGTTGTGTTTGGATGCATGTGCACTAACAAACGGAGATGGCATCCCGGTGATGTGACAAGTGTCTGGGGCTACCCGACGTCTTTATGTGAACACAGTCTCCTGCAGGGTTCATTAGCACCAGCAGTCCTGTGTGGGGCAGAGGATGAATTAGAAGTCAGCCTCCTGAAAAAATGAGGTCGTTACAATAGTGTCACAATGGAAGTTCTGTTTTTAATCTCTTTTAAGTTAGGCTAGTCCCCAGAGTAAAAACAAGGGCAGAACAAAGACTCCTCTAGTCAGAGGGTGAACTGTATTCTGGATATTACTTTCTCTCTCTCTCTCTCTCTCTCTCTCTCTCTCTC